AGGGTTAGTGAAGAACAGGGGTTAAGAGACAGGGTGCATGTCTAGGTTAGAGAGAGAAAGCACAGAGAGGCGTAAGGCAGGGCAATACCAACCTTTTCAGAGCAGTAACTGACCCTAAATATTCCCAATACAATATAGGAGGAATTTTGTGTGAGCCAAAAACAGCAATGGCGTAAAGCGGTGCTTGGGGGGAAAAAAACGGACGATAAAGTCCCACTATGCAAAAAGGTTCTTCGTCCAAAGAGGGTCGCGTCAGCGTCAGGCCATCCATCTCAAGGTTCACTAAAGGAGACTTCAGGAAAATGTAGGAAAAAGAGTCTAGAAAAAGGAACGCATTACAAAAAAAAAAATCTTCTAAAAACAAAAACATAGCTTTACACTCGTGAAATAATCCTAACACCAAAAAACACAAAAACACATCTCTGTGGGACAAAAACTTTAATTCCAGCTCATTATGTTCCCCAGAACGGCAGCGGTGGGACTCTTCTACCGCGTTCGTACATCCACTGGAGATCAGGTAATCCAGCAAAGCCTCGATCTACACCTATACATCCAACATGAGGTTAGATCCGTGGGAATCTTCCCGTGACGACGTCTTCTGGTCTTCGAGGCTTCGTAAAGGTATCCAAGCGCGGGCGTCACGTGGTCTCTAAGAATGACGTGCGGTGACAAGGAGGATGGAGATGATGAACCCTGACACACTTACTCCTTGCTCCAGCGGCGCGTGACTCCGCTCCTAAATCCACGGCAGTGATACACATCCACGGCATGACAGACAGTTAGCACAATGACCAAATGGGTGATGGGATAGTCGTGCAAGGCAAATGAGAAGGGACAAAAAGCTTTGCGATAACGCGTAACTACGTTCCGGTTAAAAACCTTGCGTTTAATCCGTCATCGGCACATACTTCCAAAGAGCGCCATCCAAGGCGGCGGGGTAATATCCGAGATTCGTCGAACGCCTAATATCCAAACTCACCCGTTACGTCTCCGCCAGCCATCGTAATATCCAAACCGACCGGGATATTCTCCACGTGGGTAATATCCAACTCAGACGAAGGCTATGGCTCACACAGTAATCCCACACCAATCTAATCCACTCATTCTTACACGACAGACAAGGATTAATAATTCCGTGTGCAGGAAGTCAGGCCTCAGAACGGAGAGGGATCCCTAGAATCTGGTCTATTGTGTTTAACCCAACCTGAACCCCTGTATCTGACACCACAGTCCCCCTGTAGTGCAGAGGGAGCCTGTGTCCACTTACCCGTCTAGTCTGCGTTCATAGCGCCCCTCTCTGGTGTGGAGAGACACCGGGGGCCCGTACACCGGCCCCACGGCGCTCCTCGAGAACCCTGCAACCTCCCTTCCGTGACTGCTAGAGGGGGTGGGGTCCTCCAGACCGCGTACGGCACTGGGAACTGAACCCGGCTCATTGTAATCTGTGCGAAGGTCCCTGTCCCCCATTTTGTTGACGGCATTGTGCGCCTTCTGGGCGCTTTTGAGGTCTACGAAATCTACGAAGGCCGCCACGCCGCCCTCGGAGCCGCGCTTGCGCAGGACCTTGACGCTCTCCACCCGGCCATACCTGTGAAGAAGAAACGAAGCGCTGTAAATGTCACGCACATCCAGGAATCATGTGAGCGACAGTCACAAAAACACATTATAGGTCAACATAAGAGGAAGCGTGATGTTTTAAAAGTCACTTTCTGAACTCTTAGCAACAGATACCTTCTTATGTTTGGATGACACCTAATTACTTGTACATTATTATGCTCTTTAGCCAACCTGATTTGACTATACCCGCGCTCCGCAGCCCATTCACACTACAGTCTCAAAGCGATTTCAAACCAGTTTAGCGGTTTTTCTGCAGTACAGCGATTCAGTTCACTAAACTGAAACAGGACATCAGGAGTTCGTTTTACTTAAGAAATATCGCAGAATGAAGTTACACGTAACTGCAGATCCTCGATCAAGTTTCGGTTTCTTCGGATAGAATCGGTTCCTACCGTTAAACCGGCTCTTCCCGTCCGGACTCGGCGTTAGCAGCGAGCTAACCGCACACGGACACAAACGCTCGCTGTTCTCCTCACGAAAGCGTGTTTATGTGACTTCTCCGGAGAAGTGAACCGAACACGGGCGTTTTCTGTGAATATTAGCACAGATTCCACGCGTTAACCTGCAAACCGTGAACTAGTCAACTGCTTAACTTGACCGTGTTAGCGAGCCGGCGGCTCAACGGAGGTGGTTTCGGCTTGTTTCTGAATTCTAGATCGTGTTTGCGGCTCATCCTGGTGTTCTGAACGGCTTTCGTCGTTGATTTTCCGCTGAGGCGGTTTGTGTCCGCGCGAGGCCGCGTCACTGCGCGCGCAGCTGCACTTCTTGTGTAACTCACCGTTTAAAATGCTCCACAATCTTCTCCTCGCGAACATGTTCGGGTAAATTTCCCACCCAGAGGTGTCTGGTTTCCCGAACCATCCTGCGTCGTCCGCGTCCCGTTCATGCACATAAGCGGCTTCGCGTCGTTTAATCTCCGACCGTGAGGTGAAGCGCGTGACAGGACAACAATCTCGCGGCCCTGCGCGTGCACGAGCGGAACCCTCGGTGGCGAGCACGCAACCCTGCGCGCCACCGTCACTCTGCGTCATCCACGCAAACGTCATGAATGTTGCCAAAACATTGGACGTGTATATTAAAGGGGTCATATGATGCGATTTCATTTTTTCCTTTCTCTTTGGAGTGTTACAAGCTCTTGGTGCATAAAGAAGATCTGTAAAGTTGCAAAGACTAAAGTCTCAAATCCAAAGAGATATTCTTTATAAAAGTTAAGAGTTAGCCACACCTACCTAAAACGGCTCGTTCGAACACGCCCCCACATATCTACCTCACTATGCGGGAAGATTTGCATAACGCCGCCCAAACGTTCACGCAAAGAAAGAAGGCGTAACTTATATTCTCGCTGTAGTATTGTTGTTGCCATGTCGTGAAGACGCTGTGTGTTTCGTTGTGAAAGCGAAACTACTTTGTTTGGTCTTCCAAAAGAGAACGATATCCGCTT